TATCATTTGCATATAGGGAGTTCATCTCATCCTGCATAGCCTCAAGCCACTGTCTCTTTTGCTCACTCTCCATGGCTTCTTCATAAGACTCGGGTTCTCCCCCATCAGTCAAGAGCACATACTGATCGAAAGAGTAACGAGTAGATGGTCTCCGCTCCCTGTTAGACCTTCTAGGAGGATCAACTGGAACCTGCGAAGGAACTTCTTGTTACTGGTGCACAACATCATCAACATGACCATCTACATCAACTGTATCATCCTGAAGGTCTGGTACAGGATCATCATTCTGACCATTCTCCTGAATCTCATCAACATCATGTGTATCTTTGTTGGAAACTGGCTCAAGGTCAACCAAACTTCCGTTGTCATGAGATTCTGGCCTCCTCACTTTATCAACATCCTCAATGGTTTTATTTTCAAAGAACACTACATCACGTCTTCTCACAAGCTTCTTCTCAACTGGATCATACAGCCTGTAGCCAAATTCATCAAGACCATAACCAATAAAGATACATTGTCTGGTCTTCGAGTCCAACTTAGATCTCTCATCTCTTGGGACATGCACAAATGCCTTACAATCGAAGACTCTGAGGTGATCATAAGAAACTTCCTTTCCACCCCAAACCTTATCAGGAACTTCATTACTCAAAGCAATAACGGGAGATAAATTGATAATATGAACAACTGTGGAAACTGCTTCAGCCCAAAAAGATCTAGGCAACTTCGCATCATCAAGCATGCATCTAACTCTCTCCATAATTGTTCGGTTCATCCTCTCTGCTAAGCCATTTAACTGAGGAGTCTTAGGAGGAGTGATGTCTAATACTGTGTATTCTGCAATATTCATCAAATGGGCCACGATATTCACCGCCATTAACAGTACGGATGCACTTCAATTTCTTTCTTGTCTGTCTCTCAACAAGAGCATGAATCTCTTTAAACACACCAAGCACATCACTTTTGTGTTTCAAAGTGAAGACCTAGAGTTTTCTAGAACAATCATCAATAAAGGTCACAAAGTAAGACACACCTCCAAGTGACCTAACCTTCATTCGTCCACACACATCAAAATGTATAAACTCAAGTGGCTCTGACCTCTTCGAAGGAGGGTTGCTCATGAAAGAAACTCTTTTCTGTTTCTCCGCCAAGCAATGGACACATCTGTCCAACCTAGCTTCTTTTACCCCTGAAAGCTTACTCTTCCTGGCAAGACAATCAATCCCTTCACACTCATGTGGCCAAGTCGTTTATGCCACAATTCTGATGCACATTCTTTTGCTACCACATTCACTAAATCACCATAAATAAAGCTTTGCAAAGAGTACAAGTTAGAAGACTTGTTACCCGTGCAATAACCAGTGAACCTTTAGTGATTTTCCAACGTCCATCACCAAAGAAACAACAAAAACCATCATCATCAAGTTTTCCTGTAGAAATAAGATTTAGTTTGATACCTGGTGCATGCTTTACATTTTTAAGTACCAGCTTTGTGTCATTGCTTGTCTCAAGGCAAAATGTACCGGTACCAATCACCTTCACCTGGCCATCATCACCCATTCTTAACTCTCCATAGTCACCTGGAGTATATGAAGAAAGAATTCCTTCCTTGGTGTAACATGGTAGGATGCACCTGAATCCACAATCCAAGTTGTTTCGTGGCATGCAACGTTGATGGCATTTTCATCACAAGCAACAAGTAAATATGCTTTAACTATTGCAACCTGGTTCTGGATGTTATCATCTTTCTTGTCTTGCTTCTTGTCCCTTTTCAACGTGAAGCAATTTTTCTTGATGTGTCCTTTCTTGCCACAATAATGACATTCAGCATCCTTGTGCCATGACCTTGACTTACTTCTGCTTTTATCTCTACCCTTCTGACCCCTTTGTTTGTTTCTCCCCCTATCATTTGTAACAAAAATATATGGCTGAGAAGTGGAGGTGTCTTGAGATCTTCTTCTTGACTCTTCATTCAAGATACCACTCTTGACATACTCCATGGTCACAACACCGTTGGGAGCAGAATTGGTCAAAGAAACCCGAAGTGTTTCCCAAGAATCAGGCAGAATGTTAAGCAACCAGAGACCAAGTACCTCATCCTCAAATTTGATGCCCATACTAGACAACTGATCAAGAACACCCTGAAAATCATTGACATGATCATTGATCAATGTACCTTCCCTGTATCTTAGATTCATCAATTGTTTTAGCAAAAACAGTTTGTTATTGCCTGTCTTAGAAGCATACAGGGTCTCAAGTTTATCCCACAGGCTTCAGGCATGTGTCTCATTGATAATGTGATTCAGAACATTATCTTCAACCCATTGGCGAATATAACCACAAACTTGTTGGTGCTCAAAGTCCCACTCTTTGTCTGCCATACTTTCTGGTTTTGCCGTTGCAAACACAGGTAGATGTAATTTCTTCACAAATAGGAGATCCTTCATCTTGGCCTTCCAAATGTGATAATTTCTACCATTACATCGTACCATATTACTCATATTTGTCTCCATGTCAAATTTACCCAATCAACAACCAGGGCTCTGATACCACTTTGTTGGGAAAAATCCCACTTCATGTGACAATGAAAAATCACAGAACCGACAGGAGCACAAACGCAAGATGATACACAATAGTAAAAAAATAAATAACAATGCAAGGGACACAAGATTTACGTGGAAAACTCCAAAACCACAGGGAAAAATCACGGGACCACCACCACCAACAATTCCACTATAACAAATCTCGGGTACACAAGTTCAGGCTATCACACGAGCCATACATCCACAAATCATCAAATACACCAATTCTAGGCCAAATACATTCTTTAAATTCCACAGGCTAAATACGAATAATATCTCGTACGTACTCAAAATATTCAACTACCACGAACAAGATAAAATGAATATAAGTAGTACGAGATTACCCAAAGGATGCCTGGAATAAATAAAAGCTGACATTTAAAAGGTTGATGAATAAAGTACCCAAGAGCTTAGACAAACTCGCGGCAAAAGCATCAAAACTTGCATCCAAGGTGAAGAAACAAAATGAATATGGTTTCTTCCTTGCTACTGCCGCCGAACTACCTTCACTCACTTTAGTTTTGTTTTGTCTTTTTTCTCTCACAATCTGTATGTGTGTAGATTGCTCCCCTTTTAAAGCTTCAAAAGGATGAACCTGGGAATAATGAAGAATAAATAGAGTATTAATTCTTCACCCCTTCAAATGCCAAAAATGTTTGCTTCTCCAACCTCTTACATTCCCTGATATTATTATATAACATAATAATAATAATAATTAGGGCTCAAAAATATAGTGGATAAAAGTTGGCTTGGTCCAAACATGAGCTATTTACCACATAGGAGGGAAGCTCAACCCAACAAGTACTGTCAGGACCAACTAAAAGCTACTAGAAGAAGTGTTGCCAGTGCTGAAATCTTTAGGCTAAATTCTAAAATTGTTTTCTGTATAATTTTTTATTGGTTTTTTTTTTACAAATTAAAATGGCGAAATGCATTTGCAGTCTGGCAAATCAAGCTTTTAATTTTAATGGAAATTTAGTAAATACTTTGATCTTAATGATAAAAGGACAAAAATACCCTTAGTTTTTAAAGAATCCAGCGTGTTTTAATTTTTTCGGTGATCAGAGTGATTAACTTTGGTAGTAAAACAATAGTTGTGGGATGAGTTTTGGTAGGAATTAAACATGTGGACCAAAATTGTCATTTTGCTAATACTCGTGGGACTAAAATTGGTATTTGCTTGAAAAGTTTATTACCTAATGAGTAATGCTAAACCCCTCTTCTAAAATTTTCTTCCCAATTTCCTAATTTAGTACCATCTAATTAGGTTATTTAGGAGTTAATACCCAATTTGGTCTCTCGACTATTATGATTTCACCACTTTGGTCATCGACTTTCGAACTTGTTCAATTTCATCCCTAATTATGCAATATTTACCTAAAATAGTCCTAATTCGGATCATTTTGGTTAACAATTGTATAGTTGGGGATGAAATTGAGCAAGATTAGAAGTCAATGACCAAAGTGGTGAAATCTTAATAGTCGAAGGACCAAATTAGGTATTAACTCGGTTATTTACTATTCCGTATTTAATTAAAAGTGTGTGAGGTCCACCATTCATGACACACAATGAATATTAAGACATGATAAGGGGAAATATTAATAAAAACTTAGGAGGGGAAAACACCATTCATGACCCCACCTCGATCTCGTTTAAGAACAAAAAACACCTATATTGCCACATTAACTATAAAAAAAAAGTTTAATCTTATGGCATGATCATTAATCATTAATAGGGATAAAGTACAAATCAGTTATATAACTATTTGGCGAACAATTAAGCAGCTCAATTCAAATAAGCTCCAAATAAATTTATGTAATCAATAAAAAGTTCACCGATTCAAACTAGTGACTCTTTGATACCAAGTGTTGGATCCCTGTAGGTCACCCATTCTATAATCAAGCACGCTTAACCACCGAGTTTTTAAGTTATCTGATTGGCATATCCTTCTTAAAACCAATTGGTGATAAACAGGTGGAGATTAATCATTTAATCGCATCCCTCCATAGTAAGCCACACCGCTAATGATGAAGTGAAGAGAATGAATGTTGCATTAATGGTTCATGATGAAGTGAAGAGAATGAATGTTGTGGATTACAGAGAAGATTACTAAGATGAACAGCAGCTGCTAGCTTTATATATCTAAAAGAGGGAGAAGCTTATAACCGTATTTGAAGATGTAAAATTACATTATGGCGCTCTACTCTCTTCTTGCATATCACTTGTGTTGGCACATTCCTTTATCACCCTCCCGTAAGCTGGTGCATGCACATCGTGTATACCCAGCTTAGAGTTAAAACTTTGGAACATGGCAGTGGGGAGTGGCTTGGTAAAGCCATCAGCTATCTGACTTGCTGAGGGGATGAACAACAATTTAATTAGACCTTGAGACACCTTTTCCCTAACAATATGACAATCAATCTAGATATGCTTCGTCCACTCGTGAAAAACATGATTTTCAACAATCGCCACAGCGGACTTGTTGTCACAAAATATGACAACCGGCTTCTTCATTTCAACATGTAAATCTTTGAGCAAGAAAACAAGCCATTGTACTTCACAGGTAGTAGCTGCCAATGCCCGATATTCTGCTTCGGAGGAAGACCTAGAGATGGTGGCTTGCTTCTTCGATCTCCAAGAAATCATGGCTGCTCCAAGGAATATACAGAAACCGGTGACAGATTTCCGTGTTTCGAGGCAAGACGCCCAGTCTGAATCTAAGAATACACTGAGCTGCAAATCACCATCTCTAGGATAGAAAATGCCTTGTCCAGAGGCTGCTTTGATGTAACGTAGAACCCAGTGAGCTGCACTTAGGTGTTTGTCAGTAGGTGCATCCACGAATTGGCTAAGTTGGTGAACGGCATATGTAATGCCTGGCCTTGTCGCTGTGAGATATAGTAAGCGTACAACTAAGCATCTGTAAATGCCAGCATCAGTGAGCAGAGTTCCATCACCATGTTGTAAGGACTGTCCCGGTACCATGGGTGTAGTTATTGCCTTGCATTCAAGGAAGCCAGCCTCTTTAAGGATGTCTAAAGCATACTTGCGTTGGCACAAATTTAGCCCATGTTCATCTGAGTGTGCTTCAATGCCAAGAAAGTAGCCTAATAGTCCCAAATCCTTGATTTTGAAAGCATCATCAAGAAAGTTCTTTAGATTGTGAATCAGCTGCAAATTGGGACTGGCTACCAATATATCATCTACGTAGACAAGAACTGCAACAAAAGTAGCCTCAACACCCGTAGTAAACAGTGAAGGATCAGACTTGGATTGAGTAAAACCTCTGCCTATTAGAGCTGTACTCAGTTTAGCATTCCATTGGCGACTTGCTTGTTTAAGCCCATAGAGAGAACGCAGTAATCTACACACCTGATTAGGATTTTCAGTTTGAAAGCCAGGTGGAGGAATCATGTAAACCTCCTCCGTTAGATCACCATGGAGGAAGGCATTATTAATGTCCAATTGATGAATATTCCATCTGCGAAAGGATGCAACAACTAAGAATGTCCTGATGGTGGATAACCTTGCAACCGGGGAAAATGTCTCAATATAATCAATTCCCAGTTGTTGTGTATATCCTTTTGCTACGAGACGTGCTTTGTAACGTTCGACGGAACCATCTGCCCGTAGCTTGACTTTATACACCCATTTACATCCTATGGGAGTTTTCCCAGCTGGTAGGGCTGTCAATTCCCAGGTATGGTTGTCTTGCAAGGCTTTAATTTCTGTTTTCATCGCTTCCTTCCAACATTCATGACAGATAGCTTAGTTATAGGACTTTGGCTCATTTGCAGAAGAAACCGCCACAGAGAAAGCCTTATGAGATGGAGATAGGCCATCAAGAGAGATAACTTCTGATAAGTGGTGAGGTGAGGAACCCCTGGAAGTTACAGCCTCACAATAATAGTCTTGAAGTTTGTTGGGGATGCGACGACACCTATTTGATCTTCTGGGCTGTTCAGAAACATAATTCTGCCTTGTATTCTCATAGCTTTGACTGTGTGTGCTGCTGGCTTCATCATGTCCATTGTTTGGCAGGTTACTAGGAGGAAAACTGGAATCTGAGTTTGCTCCTTCAAGACCATGTGGCAGATAACTAGGAGGGAACTGGAACAAGGATTTGCTGTTTCAACATCATGTGAAAAATTGTTTGAAGTATACTCAATATTTGAACAAGGAGTATCAGTAGGAATAACAGGCAAAGGAGTCCCCAATGAAGATAGCTCATGCATGCGTTCATATAGCTCTTTGTCAGAAAAAGGAAATATCTTCTCATAAAAACTAACATCCCTGGACACAATGGTAAGCTTGTCTTTAAGGTCATACAGTAGATAACCTTTAACATGAGCTGGTATGCCTAGAAACACACATTTCTTGCCACTTTGAGCCATCTTATGTCTTGAAGTAGGTAGAGTAGATGCAAAGCAGAGACAACCAAACACTTTCAAATTTGATATGTCAGGTGCCTTTCCATATAGCTGGTAATAAGGAGTGGACAGCTCAATTATCGGTGAGGGTAGTCTATTTATGATGAAAACAGCATGTAGCACGCAATGCCCCCAGAATTCGAGAGGGAGAGATGCTTGAAATTGAATCACTAGTACAAAATTGCAAATAGGCAACCATTGTACAATGGTTTCCTATGAGAGGCTCGCGGAAAGGTATCGACTTTGCGCGACCATTGTGAAATGGTTGCGCATTGTCAGTAATACGCGACCATTCTTGACCAAGAATGGTCGCGTATTGTTTTTTTTTTTTTTTACAAAAGTTTTACGCGACCGTTCTTGGCCAGGAATGGTCGCGTATTGTTGATTTAAAAAATAAAAAATAATTAAAAATAATTTTAAAACTATATTTATTATTTTACACCATGTACAATTACATATTTACAATTCTAAATTAAAAATAATTGAAAGCTACAAAAGAAAATATTAGATTTTAGTTTACAATAGTGTTAGCAGTGCCTTCCACTTTTTATATCGCATTACATACAAATCAAAAGAAACGGATCAGAACCTGCAAGTTTTAATGCATTCCACAACATTTCTTCGTGTTCCGAAATGCCAAATAAGCACAAAGTAGCAGCCTGAACACCAAATACTTGCCATAATAGTTTTCCCGTGTTATTTTGGCGCAAGAAATCCTGCAAAAAAGGATCATTGTCTTTAATAGTTCCATTTAATATGTTACAATCTAAAGAAAAGAACAATACAAGGACAGACCTTGGGATGCATATACAACCAAAACCTTATATGGTGCCAAGGATGATAGGGTATGACTCTTGAACACATGCAGTCTTCCTTGGAAAGCCAGCACTGCAGAATTTTAAAGTGAGGAAATAGCGTTTTAAAACCAATAAACAGATGGCTCCATAAAAGAAAAGCAATGTCGCATGGGCGTTTTCTACAATTAAGGACTAAGAATCAAACAGATTGTACAGACTACTAACATAGAACAACCGAATTGAAGCTATCATCATAAATATAGATAATGCATATACCTTCTGACAAAGGTAATCTCTACTTCCAAGTTCACGACATGCAATTTGTCGAGCTGAAAAGAACTGAAGCTTCTTTTCAGAATCTCCTAAGGACTTTTCTCTATGCTTCTTATCTTCATGCACCTTGAAGTCTCCCTGATGATCAGAACAGATAACTGAACAATGATTCAGAGAACTGATTATAGAAAGACTTTCTTTTTTGAGAGTGGGGGAGGGGGACATGTGTATGTATAATGCTTATTTAGGAAATTATAAAACCCTTAGAATTGCTATACATAATTCCCTTCAAGTGGCATTTGAGTTTCAGCACACTAGACTTAAATAGATAGTACTTCTCAAAAATGGATATTTTTAAGTCAATACATAGTACTCCTCAAAATTTTCTTCGTAACTCTTAACTCTTAACTTTTTCATTTTAAAACTGTGAAACAAACCACACAAGTATAAAGTAATTGATTTACTTGTCTCAGTTCTCTTTAAAATACGACCAATTGGCTCATCCATCTCTGCAAGCACACGAACTGATTTTGCAAGACTTGAGATCTATAAAAACATGGAGTGAAAACCACAAGGAACAAGGATTACCCCTTCTGTAAAACAATGGAAAGCAAAACGGCATATAGCATAATTAAGAAATGCCATACTTTTTTGTGAGGGTTCATGATATGGTATATAACTGATAAGGTTGAACTAATAATTACACTATATTCTCGAACTAATGGTGTAGCAGTTAGTAGGGCAACAAAGTCTATATACAGTTGCAGTTGTAGAAAGAAAGCCATATCAAAGCTGGGAAAGAGGGAAGTGAGCAGATCAATTTTTTACTTAAGTTATAGTGAAGTTAATAAAGTCGTGGTCTTTGCAGAAACCTAACAAGTAACAATTGTGCCATAATTGAAGATGCCTAAGCTTTTCAATCTTCACTATGGACATTTCTTACATCTCTCATTATTGAACATAGTTGAGCTGTCAATTCAGTCTGCCGCACCAGGCTCTGCCATAACTTAAAACCATCTTCATCTCCATTTACACTTCCTCCCAACTGTCATTTACACACACAAAATAATAGTAAATATACAACACTAACACTGGAACAAGAAAGGTAGGGAATCTAGAGTTGCAAATTACTCCATAACCTACTTCCTTTGTCATATATAACATCCACTTTGTGGTAAGAGTAGACTGATTATATTTATAAATTATTTTAACAGTGACTTTTTCAAAATTTCAATGTTATACAGCAATTATAAATATGGATCTTCAGTGTAAGTGAAAAGCCCATATTTTAGTAAATGCAACAGACGTTGGGAGAGATTAAGGTGGTGACTCCAATGCAATGAAGAGAGAAAAGCCCCATGGATTCTATTCTATATATTATCCATAATCAATATGTTGAAGCATTTTCCTTGAAAGAATTCAATGAAAATGCTCTCTTAATTTTTTTTAGAAAATAGTGCTAAAGTAGTCTAATAAAGGTCTTCCTTATATATGATACAGTTAAGCAGAATATTTCAAAAAATGGAAATCACAAACCTTCAACATGCTCTCTTCCAGAATTTCATATGTACAATAAAAGCGTTTTGCATATGCAGGATCATGCAGCTCTACTGCAACAAACCAACGAAGAACTCGATATTGCGTAGTGCTGCAAAGAATTAAACTGGTAAAGCACAATTCTAGAAGTAGCAAACGCACTCACACCAATAAAGAAGTCCTAGAAGATTTTGATGTTTATTACAGGAAGCATGCATCGCTACACAAGGAAATGAGAAAGACGAGATTTATCAAAGCGCTCAAATCAAGAGCTTGAACCAACTGGAGAAGGTAACATTGAAAAGAATAACAATAAAGCAGAAGCAATACGTACCTTAGCTCAGGATATCATACATTTGACTACCCAAAGATCAGATCTTTAGTCCATTCCCCACTCTGCCTGCATCTTACGGCCATGGATTAATCAACACCCACCAATCGCATGTTTAATACTCCGTATATATTGCTGTAAATAAGGAATTATTGCAGAAATTGAAACTAAAAAAGGAATCTTGGATTAGGGAAAAAGACAAGGAAAAAAGAAAACTCCAGAAAAGGAAATTAAGCAAAAAGATCCAACTTTGCTCATTAATTCTTGATTTCCACTTCACAATCTACCACTCAAGAATCAATTGAGTTGCCCGTCTGAACTCATTAACACCTACTATTTTACTGGTACTGTTTGTGTATATGGAGAGACAAAACCCTAGAAATATGGTTGCATGTAGAAGAAGAATTGAAGAAGGTTGCAGCAATGATGAGGTGAAAAGAAGCCCTAATTTACTCAATCATACGATATGATGATGATGATGAAGCAGTCTAGACTCAAAAGGTGATGTAGTAGGAATTAAAGACACAGAAATCACACAGCCATGATGATGAAATGTGCCAAAAGTAAATCAGAAATTCACCATTAATTTCTACTGCGGTTGTGTGTACGTGCTAGACTCGACCCAGCAATATAATCATCAATTTATTGTCTTCAACCTCAACAACAAAGAAGAAGAACAGAAAGGTAGGGTCAAAGCCCTTCATCATTATGCCAATTCATATTCCTCAGCTCCCTGCAAAAATACAAAACAAACTTCAATAATTCACATGAAAACTCTCACCATATATATATATATATATATATATATATATATATATATATAAATCTAATTAATCAAATACCTAATTAAGTCATCCAACAACCTAATATGTAATTAACAAGGTACTATTGAGCCAAATTCACATATTCACATATATAAAATTTATAAAAATCATAAAATATCACATCTATTTATTTATTAAAATAATAATTAAACAAATAATATATATATATATATATATATATATATATATATATATATATATATATATATATATATATATATTAAAAAATAAAAAATAACTAACCTGCAGATCAGCGCTGGGGAGGCGGCAGTGGTGCCGGCGAGGATGGCGGCGCGTCGTGGTGCTGTGCGTGTAGCGGTGCATCGCGGTGAGTCGTGGACGTGGTCGCCGCCAACGGCGTAGTGGCGGTGGGTCACCGGGCGAGAGCAACGGCGTTCGGAACGGAGCGTCGAGGTCGGAAGGGAGCGGATCGGATGGGAGCAGATCGCGTGGTGGCAGTGGGTCGCCGGGCGAGAGCAGCGGCGGTCGAACGGAGCGTCGAGGTCGGACGATGGGAGCAGATCGATGTATTTCGTTCACCAAGTGTCAAGGGTTATGATTTGTGCACGACCGGATGTGGACGTTCGATCGTCTGATCTGATTCGAATTATGATTTGCATAGGTCTAGGGTTAATCTAAGGCAACCATTTCTATTAGAAATGGTTGCCCATTATAAATCATTTTTTTAAAATAAATACAAAATACAATGGGAAACCATTACAACTAATAATGATGGCGGATTATTGATCACTTATTTACAAAATTGTCACCGCGAATTTTTGGGCTAAGATTAGGCAACCATTCTTTCAATAATGGTGGCCTATGATCAATCTTCTATGTTCAATTTTGTACTAGTGAATGGCCTTTTCTACGTTGAGTATGTGTTGGTGTTTGCGCTCTATAATAGCATTCTGCTGTGGTGTGTAGGCACAAGACCTTTGGTGAATCATGCCATTCTCTGCAAAAAAATCAGTCAAGTTGAACTCAAGACCATTGTCAGTTCTGATGGTCTTGATTAATACTCCAAACTGTGTGTGAACAAAAGCATGATATCTTTTTATGAACTGTCTGGTATCTGATTTATGCTTCATTAAATGGATCCAAGTGAACCGGGAATGATCATCAACTAAGGTTAGAAAATAGCGTTCACCATTTAGAGAACTAACATGAAACGGTCCTCATATATCTGCGTGAACCAAATCAAAACAGGCATTCGAAGTGGTAGTACTCAATGGAAAAGGAGAACGTTTATGCTTAGCCAAGTGACAAATATCACATGGCTCTTATTTTGCAACAGGAATCTTAACATTTTTCAGAAAATGAAGTTTATTCACAGGGAAATGGCCTAGCCTTTGGTGCCAAATTCTACTATCACTACATTGAATGGCAGAATTTTGGTGATGAGTTGTTGGTTTCTGAGGAGGTTCCAACAACATATATAGACCTCTTTCTTGTCTAGCTGAACCAAGAGTCCTCCCATGAGCCCCCTGAATTATGCAATATCCAGACATAAAAGTTAGACCATAATAAGCATCTCGCAGCAATTTACTTACCGAGATTATGTTGAATTTGAAATAAGGTATGTGTAGTGCATCCTTCAGCCATAATCCATCATTTAGTCTAACATCTCCTATATGTTTAATAGATATCCCTTTTCCAGTAGGTAAGTTGACTTCAACTCCACACACATTATGACACTTATCAAAGAATTCAAGAGCACATACTATGTGATCCGTAGCCCCAGAGTCAATTATCCAAGAAGTACCAGACAAGGATAGAGAATTAATGTGAATTTTAGAACACTTGCCTTCATCTGCATGAGACAGTTCTTTGAATTCTGGAATTAGAGTGACAACTGCAAGTGATATGCCAACACAAGTGATATGCAAGAAGAGAGTAGAGGGCCATAATGTAATTTTACATCTTCAAATACGGTTATAACTGCTTCTCCCTCTTTTAGATATATAAAGCTAGCAACTGCTGTTCATCTCAGTAATCTTCTCTGTAATCTGCAACATCCATTCTCTTCACTTCATCATGAACCATTAATGCAACATTCGTTCTCTTCACTTCATCATGGTATCAGAGCCCTATTGTAACACCCCAGATTTTCAGGATATTTAAAACTTATAAAATAAAGGTGAAATCTCGTTGAATCCCAAAACATAGTACAAGAGTATGGGGTGCTATGCCACACCTAAGCTAGAGAACTCAAGTGCACAGGCTAACTGACTAATATCCTCAAATAGCATCAGTACTAAATCATGGCACGCAGGCCGAAAGGGAAAAACTATCTAAACTACGTCCAAGCTTCTAGCGTGCTCCAGTGAACTACTCGTCTGTGCCTG